TTGAATATGTCGCCGACCCACTTTGTAATCATCAATACCAGCATTATAGGCAAGCCGAATGTGATATCCTAAACCCGAAGCTTCCATTTCAAATTCACTAATGTTCCACAATATCACTTCACGCCTATGGAACGTATGATCAGAAGGAGATTCCCAACAGCCCTCCTTCACTGGCTTGGTCAACATTGCTACTAAATTAGCATGACCGAGCTAAGTAATTCAAAAAAGCACGTGCACAAGAGTGGATGGAATAGAATCGTGACATTTATGAAGATTGAAAATTAGGTTCTTAGCATATTCATCTGGACGGCAAAATGAACCAATTGGTACCAAAATCGATGCTGTCGTGCGCTACAACAGAGTTCGGCGGGGAAGCGAGCCATCATATAAAGGATTCGATGGACGGGAAAGCTATGAGGTGCTTCACTACATACTTCAGAAGCTAAACAGTAATCAAAAACTACAGAAGGGGTACCTTTGTAGCCTCCATAATTATAGCTGTAAGCGATATCGTCATTCGTACTATGCCTCCCAATTGTGCAGCCGCTCCAGCCAATGCATACTTTCCAGGATCAATACCTGTCTGAAATGCAAAAATGGGAGTGGGCTAAATGAAGGAATAAAATTCCACACTTACAATAGTTGGGAAAGCGCGGCCAACGCCTATTCCAAATAAACGACCCCAAGCCGCTCCGGTCAAAATTGCAGGAATGAAAACTCCTGCAGGTACCGGTAAAGCAAACGTCCACATTGTAAGCATATAATATTCCATCGAGAAAATCAATAAAGTCCATGGCCGAAATGAATCTCAACAACGACTTAAACGTTTAAGAGAATGAGAAAAACGTACGTTCATACTTTCGCTACTTACTTATGGGGCTATGAAAGAGTGCTTTCACACTTTCTTCTGGATTCTGGAAGAAAAGTTTCGCCACCGCGGAGTATTCCCCCTTTTTGCACCACATCTAGACACTTCCACATATAAATAAACAAGCTGAAACACTGAAATAGAATCACAACAAGCGATTTACCTGATTAACTTCGGTGACGTTAGGATTCACACCGACGGGCTGACAGTCATCAACTAGGAAAATGGTAATGAAGCCAGCAAAAGCGGATATTGCAGCTACCAGCAGACACTCCAGTAATCGCTGCCATTTATTCGATACATATCTTAAACATTATGTATTCAATCTTGATCAAATGAGTTTGAGTTTCGTGCCTGATGAATTAATGGAATTTCAGATTAAATTATTGGATTCTTTGAAAGGAACTTACTTCTTCCTGAATTCTGTCAGCCTGGAATTGAGATGATTGAATAGAGCACCCGTCAAGCCACCAATAACCCCAATAGCCAAGAACAGTGGAATCTCCCAAATGTTGTAATTCTTGTTCTGAAATACATGGCGTACGGATTTTTTATTTAGATAATAAAGGAGTTGTGACAAATAAAACATTCGCTTTACTGAAACAAGTTTACTGAAACAGTTAGGCTATACACTCTGAATACGGTCTACTAAGCAGTGATCCCTCTCCAGACCACAGCGCACCCCTAATACTTAAACTCTGCGCCTTAAGAGTTATTCAATTGAATATAGAGAGAAATTTAAAATCATTTTTAAACACGTAAATTGCCCCGATTTATTTTCATGGAACAGCCTTACCATTCATATCAAAATAAAAGGAAATAATGGTCGGTACCTCGAAGACACCAAAGTTTGCCAACCCTGTCCAAGATAGCCATCCACTGCGACCATTAAACCAGCTAAGAATTGAATTGACAGTGAAGGCAGAGATCATCGCGGAGAAAAACTGA